GGCAAAAAAAAAGCGGTGGCCATTGGCAAAATGGCCATTGGCAAAAAAAGCCGTGGCCATTGGCAAAAAAGCCGTGGCCATTGGCAAAAAAGCCGTGGCCATTGGCAAAAAAGCCGTGGCCATTGGCAACTTTCCCGTGGCCATTGGCAAATGCCACTTGCCAATGGCCACGGCTTTTTTGCCAATGGCCACGGCCCCCATTAGGGTTGGGGCCCAACCTTAATGGGGAACGTGGCCATTGGCAAAAAAGCCGTGGCCATTGGCAAAAAGCCCGAAAAGTTGCCAATGGCCACGGCTTTTTTGCCAATGGCCACGTTCCCCATTAAGGTTGGGGGGCATTTTGTGCGAATTGGGTTTGAAAAACCCATTTTGGCGACCAACCTTAATGACATTGGTGGCCATCGGCAAAAAAGCCGTGGCCATTGGCAACTTTCCCGTGGCCATTGGCGAATTTGCCAATGGCCACGGCTTTTTTGCCAATGGCCACGGCTTTTTTGCCAATGGCCACGGTTTTTTTGCCAATGGCCACGGTTTTTTTGCCAATGGCCACGTTCCCCATTAAGGTATAAATTATTATATGATAGAGAGAGTTTAGGGTTTAGGGTTTAGGGTTTAGCGTTTAGGTGCTTTCTGGCTTGGGCTCCCCTGGACCCTGCAAGCCTTTTCAGCCTTGTGAAGGCCTAAGCCCTACACCTACTTGAAGGTTCATTGGGACTTAGAAGTAGGGTTTTCAGTACCCTAAGCAAGGTTATAACCATAGTTCCCCCAATTATAGCCCAACTTACAATTACCTATGAACCTCCAAGTAAACCCCCAAACCCCTACGCCCCTAATCCCTAAAACCCTAAAACCCCAAACCCCTAAAACCCTAAAGCCCCTATACCCAGGAAGTCTGTCAAGTCCACGAATACGGTGGACTTCATGAGCAGCCTTCGATCCGCCGATGGAACCGAGCACTCCGGCGACCTCACGCACACCTTCCATGGGGATGCTTGTGGCGAAATTGAAGGGTTTAGGGTTTAGGGTTTAGGGTTTAGGGTTTACGGTTTAGGGGTTAGGGGTTTGGGGTTTGTGAGGGTTTAGGGTTGAGACCCTCAAGCCAACCAACCCTAGACTCGAAGCCTCTGAGCTCGAAGACCCCGAACTTCACCAATCCCCCCCCCGCTCCCTTGAACTTCAAACTTCTTGGGTTTCCTTATTTAGCAGGAAGAACACCCTAAACCCTAAACCCTAAACCCTTTTCCCCTGTGGTCATTGAGCCCAGAGAGCCCCCAAAAAACCCAAACCCTGCACCACACGGTCAGCTAGGCGGATGGCAACAAAATGCCTTGAACCCAACAGAGCTTCGGAAAGGATTCGGGTTTAGGCTTAGGGTTCGGGGGTTTAGGGTTTAGGGTTTAGGGTTTAGGGCAAGCAGCAAGAAGAGGGTAAAGAGGAATGGGGCGCAGCATTGTGCCAGCCTTGCCTTGTTAGGGGTAGTGGCTATGTTTCACGACCCCCGCCAGAAAATTCACAACTCGCCCTGATGGGGTTTAGGGTTTAGGGGTTGGGGGAAGGGTTGAAGGGTTGAAGGGTTGAAGGGTTGAAGGGTTGAAGGGTTGAAGGGTTGAAGGGTTGAAGGGTTGAAGGGTTGAAGGGTTGAAGGGTTGAAGGGTTGAAGGGTTGAAGGGTTGAAGGGTTGAAGGGTTGAAGGGTTGAAGGGTTGAAGGGTTGAAGGGTTGAAGGGTTGAAGGGTTGAAGGGTTGAAGGGTTGAAGGGTTGAAGGGTCCCGAAGCACCAGACAGCCAAAAATGAGGATTCCGAGAAATTGCTGGGCTGCGGCCTGAAAAATCTCACGCCCGCAGAGGCGCCTTTTTTCAGGGTTTAGGGTGCAGGGTTTAGGGTAATTGTTCCGCTTCTTTTTTTTGCTCGGCTTTCAGCGTTTTGGTTCCGGGCTTAAGAGTTTAGGGCACCCTAAAACCCCAAACCCCAAACCCCAAACCCTAAACCCTAAACCCGTTTAAGGATTTTGCAGTTCAGGGTTGTTTCAGGCTGTAGGGTCCCATCTTACAGGCTTTTTGATACCAGGTTCTACCTCGACTTCTTTTCCCCCAGAACTGCCCAGCCCCTGGTTTAGTGCTTAGGTTGGGATGTTCACCCGTCTAACAGTCCTTAATAGGGACCCCCCTTGCAGAATCCCCTTTAAGGACTGTAAGCATAAGGGGGAACATCTCAATGCTCAGGGTTTAAGGTTCAGGGTTTTAGTGTGTGTGTGTGTGTGTTAGGGTTTAGTGCTTTGTTGGGTTGTAGTGGTGTAAGGGAAAGGTTACGGGCCAGGTGCAACGATTTTTCTTTGCCTGCGCGGTGGGTGGGGGGTGGGGGGTTGGGGCGTGAACTTGAGTTTAGGGTTTAGGGTTTAGGGTTTAGGGTTTAGGGTTTAGGGTTTAGGGTTTAGGGTTCAAGGGTTAGGGTTTAGGGTTTAGGGTTTAGGATTTAGGGGTTTTAATGTAAATGGCTACGGCTCAAGGTTTCGGCTCTGGCCCCTGAAGGGTTGAGGTTTGCCTTTAGGTCTTGAGGGCTCATGGAGGAAGCCGCCATGCAGGGTCTTCACCCCCCCGAGAACGCTGACGAAGGGCTGGAACTCGGAGGCTCGGATGTGGACTTGGAGGGGCCTTGCAGAAAGCGTGGTCGTGATCTTGCCCTAACTGAAGGTGAGGGGGGTTCGGAACCGGCTTGGGTTCAGGGTCTCAAGCTGTCACTGACAAGTGAGATGGCTACAGTCATCTCTACCCAGCTCTCTGGTCATCTTGGCAGCTTCAATGAGAGGGTTAACATGCTACATGATGAACTGGCCCTGGAATCGAGCGAGCGAAAGTCTGACATGGCTGCAATCAACAAACGGTTGGATGACATGGAGACCAAGCTTAGCAACCAGTCGAAGTTTCCGTCAGGGTCTGACTTCAGAGCAGTACCTCCCCCATCAGATCCTTGGCAGAGACCCTTGACTACCCCGACCTTTCAGGGAGCCTCAGGACCGCATCTTCCCACGTCTTCAGCTGACCCATGGAGCAAGTACCTGTCCCGCCCGGGCTCGGGAGGCGAGTCTGGCAAGGGCAGCGGTGGTGGTGGCTCTCCCAGCGCTGGTCAAGACACAGATTTCAATCGCGTCTTGGCCGGTGGCTGGGCGACAGACACACCGCGAGGAGAAATCGAGAGAGACCTTTCGGAGGCACTTGCGCTTTGGGATCAGCAGTATCAGTCCCAAATCACAAAGACGTATGTGTTTGGGAAGCGCTCCAAGACTGCCAACATCATCTTGTCCTCGCTCCCCTATGACCTGTCCCGAGATCGCTTCTATGCCATTCAGCAGTCTTACAGCAACAAGACTAGGACCAGCACTGGAGATTTTCTTTACTTTTCACCTCATCGCTCTAAATCTCTTCGGACAAAGAATAGAAGCACTAGAATGGCAAGGGAAGTTGTGGAGGCGGTGAGTGGGCTGAGTTGCGATGCTCCAGACTCTCAGCTTGAAGTTGACTGGGGCCGCCAGCTCCTTTGTTGGGGAAAGGAGAGAGTCGCAGCGGGCACCCAGAACCAGCTACTAGCCAATACGGGTGACAGAGTGATGCCGAAGCAGTTCGTGGACGCATACAGGGAGCAATCTCAGTTCTTCTTCAATGCGACACTGCTGGCCTCCAAGTGTGCTAAGTCGGTGGGTGAAGTCGAGACCGCAATTCGTGCCATTCCCTGAACCCGAAACCTCGATCCTGGCTATGGAAAACCTGAATTCATAAAGTTTGCTTGCTGGAACATACAAGGGAAAAACCTCGAAAGCTTCCTGGCCTGGATGGAGGAGTCAGGGGAGTGCCTTGACATGATTACCTTGCAAGAGGTGGGTGGTGTCTCCGCGCTTCCAGTTGTACAGAACTATGGTGATGGCATTGCACAGATCACGATGCATGAGTGCAACGATATCCATGACTATCACGTCTTTTCGTGCAGTGAGCTTTCTTCACACCTGAGTCAAGTGATCCTTGTTAGCAAAGACTGTGTTGATCACATCAGTGGCTGCTGGAAGGGAGATAGACTTTTGGGTGTGGATATCGTTTGCGTGGGCTCGATGAGACGTTTGAGCTTGGTTGGTTGCCACCTACCCCATTGCGATAATTCAGACGAAGTTTTTCAGGCCTCCCTTAGGGAGATACAAGAACTACAGAGACGCATGGACAGTCAAAATATCCCTTGTGTAATCATGGGTGACTTCAATGCTGAGACCTCAAGTATTCGTGGCATCCAACTTTCCTCGACTGTGTCCGGTCGCATCCTTCAGAGCTTTCAGCCGACGCGTTTTGGGAGGTGCTCAGAGGCAGAATTGGACTTCTTCATGGTGAACAGATCCATGAATGACATCCTCGTACCCCAAGCGGCCTCAGTTCAGGTTGCTACTATCAAACATTCGCACCTAGCTCTTGGTAGTGATCATGACTGTGTTTGCTTGGAGCTTGCTCTCAAAGATCCAACTCACCCCATCAGGAGGAAGCGGAAGCGATATCGGCGTTTTAAGTGCCGCAGACACAGTGTAGCGCACGAGCCTTTGCATGCTGAGCTTCAGGGAGCATCGGCCACCTTTGCTGAGCAGACCTTGGTGCAGCAATGGGAGACTCTGTCGAGACTCTCAAACCAACACTCCTTTGCAAGCCCCAGCCTCAAGTACAGGGATCCTCCTGGTATTAAACAGTTATGTCAAGAAAGACGATTGGCCAGTGATCCTTTGGAGAGGGCTCGGGTTACCAGGGTCATCATTGCTGCTAGGCATGAAGCCAGGCGTAGGTGGATGCAAGACCTCTACGACAAGAGTGAGCAAGGAGATCCTTCGGCTATAAGGTACCTCAAGCATCGTGGTTCTCAGATGCCCCCTAACACTGAGGACTTTGTTGCGAAGAGCGGTGGCGAACAGGCGTCCATCGACAAAGTAAAACAGCACTACTCAAGACTGTTTGGGAATGAGCCCACTCCGCTTGAAAGGGAGTCGTTGAAGGGATCCTTGCAAACTCTTCTCGAACGTGAAGCTCAGTGCCCGCCAGAACCTTTCACCGCAGCTGAAGTGCAGCCAGCTCTGGACCGCCTGAAGCGAGGCAAGGTTTCAGGTATGTCTGGTATCAGCAATGAGTTTTTGCTTGCAGTTTGGCGCAACGAGGATGGTCAAGCCATGCTTTTATGTCACCTCAATAACCTGTTGACGTCCCAAGATCTTCCGCCCGATCTACTTCAGGCATATGTCTGCCTCATCCCGAAGGCTCACTACATACTTGAATGCAAGGATCTTCGGCCGATCAATTTGCTCGAAGTGCTTCATAAGGTCTTCGCATGGCTTTTGATCTCCCGCTTGCAACAGCACTGGCCGAAACCTGGGTTGCAGCTCGGGGGCCTTGCCGGCTCGCAGGTTGCGGACGCTTTGCTATGTGCACACTCAAGGGTCGCGAAAGAGAGTCGGGAACACACATACGGGGTTTGGATCAGCTGCGACGTGCAAGCGGCGTTCGACTCTGTATCCCAGTCTAAGGTCGCGGCCTTTGTAGCTGCCTTCAGTCCTGATACCCTGGGTGCCGAAGCGCATCGACTTTTGCAGTTAGTCATGGGGCCCAATCTGCACTTTGTTTGGAGGGGAGAGAGTTGGTCGCAAGGCCAGTCGACAGGAGTGCAACAGGGTGGTTCACATTCAGCGTTGCTGTTTAGTTACGTCTTGGGCCTTGCGGTCAGTCAGCTGGATGAGACGTGGGCGCATCGGAAGGAACCCTGCTGGCATGACTCGTACGGCTGGGCTTATGTAGACGATATGATGTTTAACTTCGTCAGTTGGGAGCAGTGCGACCGATGCTTTGCCGACTTGTGCTCTGTGCTACATGATCTTGGGCTTCGATTAAATCTGCGAAAAACTGTCGTTATGTCGCATCCCAATGTTCTTCGTTTGGGCAAGTCGTACAATTTTCGGGAGGGTTCGGTGGTGCCACAACTAGCCTGGGAACGCAGTGTCAAGTACCTAAAGAAGCCCCTGATGCACTTTGATGCGGATGTTCACAAAGATTCGACGGAGGCCATGCTTCAGCCGATACATGGTGCAGCGCATATGGCGTATGAGAAACTGCAAAGGGCGATTCGCAAGGGCTGCTGGACTAATCCTAAAGGAGTACTGCGTCTTCTCAACTGCTATGTGGGTGGTGTTTGGTTTTGGCTAAGTCCGTTGCTTGAACCCCTCCAGCAATACCTCAATGCCATTAGGACTTTACAAATCACGATCTTCGTACTCATGCTTGGGCTCTACATACCCAGCTCGTGCAACCACAACGCCGCTATGCACTTGCACCGGCTCCGACGTCGAGTCGCCCTGCTGGTTCTGGCACAGTGTCCCCAGCATGACTGGTGTTGCATCTGGCTGAAGCGCAGGTGGTTGTATCTTGGCCACACTCTAAGGCAACCACAGTCGCACATTACCCGTAAGGCAATCGTGGCTCTGAACTCGGTCAAGGCTGCAGTCCCGAGCCCGTGGTCACATATTCTCTCCTGGGGTAGACAGCAACTTCAACACAGTACGGGGGTACCATCGAACTTTGATGAACTACAACATCGAGCTAGCAACAAAGAGGCCTGGTTCAATATGCATACTGGTGTGGTGCTAGGATGCCAGCCGCAACACCCGATCGTGCACAGTTGTGATTTGCGGCACTGGAGAGATGCGCTGCGAGTACAGACCGAGTGGCGCTTAGGAGCGTCCCTGCACGTTCTGACTGATGCTGAGACGGGATCTTTTCAGGTGACGGTTGGATGGTTGAATGAAGTTGAGGGGATGCAGAGTTTTACTCGTGTTGGTGAGGTCCAGCATGTCCTTCACTTGTGGTTACAGTATCTACAGTTCGAGTTTGCGGGCATCAATGTCGAGTTCTTTCTTGAGCAGTGGATATTCGAGGCTTTCACTTCTGAGCTTATGCAGCTTCATCACTTAGTCTTCAGAGAATATAGTAAGATTTTCACCTTTCAACTAGTATCCAGAGAGATCTCAGCGTCAATGCTCGCTCTGCAGTAGTGAGCGTGATGCTGGAACCGGGCTGCTGTGAACCGAGGCCTGTTGTAAAGGGGTTTTAATGTGTCAAAAGGCTGCTTTTGCCGGAGGAGGAAATCGTGACGAGCACTAGGACCCTGAGGTGGACCTTGTTCCCTTTAAGGGCTTAGGTCCCTGACAAGGCCCTGTAAGCCAAGGAGGACCCTAAACCCTAAACCCTCAACCCTAAACCCTAAACCCCTCTCGTTCCTAGGCAACTTTTGGGTCCAGGTCATGTTTCATGAGGTATCTCTTCTTGCAGCTCCTCTCTGTTCGAACCCGTGCAGCTAGCATTGAGCCCCGGTCCCAACTCCGGGGGCCTGTTGCAATGGTTCATCCTCTCTGAGGGGCAGGAGCGAGGGTGGACAAGGTGTGCAGGCCTTGTCTCGACCCGTGAACACAGGGAACAAGTGACTGCTTGGGCAACCTCTGCACAAGCATGGCGCAAAAGCGAGCCGTCATTAGAGCTCTGCGTCACTTCTTCCTTTGGGGATGGGTTTACTACCATGGACAGTTGATTGACAGAGCAGCGCGCTTGACTGCCTTTTTTCCTCACGAGACTATATCGACAGTCCGCTCCTCCTTGAGGTCTGATTCTCGTCAGCAAATGCAGAATACATGTGCTGAACGTTCGCGGGTGGAGAGTCAACTGGATCCACTGTTGTGTGAAGGCAACAGCAAGGGATCTCGTCGTGGCTTCACAGTTCTCAAGTTGCTTACATACAACTGCCGGACTCTCGGTGATGGCTCCAGGCTCACTGAGCTAGCTGAAGATCTGGCCGCTCGTGGCATTCAGGTTGCAGCATTGCAAGGCACTTGTTGGAAGCACGCTCACCCGAGAGGTGAATGGACGGTACGGGATCGCCACGGCAGGGACTTGTATCACTGCTTCGCTTGGGGCAAGCCGAAAAAGAATCCTCAGCTTGGAGTTCTATTGCTCTTACAAGTAGAAAGTTTCCAGCTCTCTGATGTGAGGTATCGCTTTGACCCTGGCAAAGGAAACATTGGCCGACTTGGAGGGGTGCGAGTGGTGGAACGAGGATCCTCCCGTGCCCAGGACCACACCTTTTTCGTTGCGTACGCGCCGGGTGAAGATGCATCTGCCGAAGAGAAACACACCTTCTACGTAGAGCTGCACCAGCACCTCGAAGCGCTGCCTGCCAGAACGTCGGTGTGGTTGCTTGGGGATTTCAATGCGCATGTGGGTGCTGTGGAGCAATTTCGGTCAGTGGGGCAGTGCGACAAGGAGGTCACGAACGAAAATGGCATTTATGTTGCAAGCTTGTGTCAAAGTCACAGACTGATTCTGACGAACACTTTTCATGCTGCGGGACACACGTGATGGGGACCTCAGGGATCAGTTTCTCACAGACTGGATTACATCGCTGCTCATACTTCTTATAGACGCGCCGTTCAAAAATGCAAAGTCAATGGATCTCTTGGTCAGCGGTGGCAAACAAGTACTGTGCGCGATCATTGGCCAGTTGAGCTGCATGTTCGTTTGCGACATGAGATTCGCTGCAAAGCTCGTCAAGCTGGAGTGCGATGGAATCGTCATGCTGTGCTTCGCCTATCCACTGATGTTCCGCTTCGTGAGGCCTTTCTTCGAGATGCTGCTGCAGCGATTGCCCCTTTCGCAGCCGCAGCCGTTTCGGATACGCTTGACTTGCAGGAAGCATGGACTGCGTGCCAGACAAGACTTTACGAAGTCTCCCAAAGGCATTTTGGCATGCCCGCGCAACGGCGTAACAGCAAAATCCTTCCAGCCACGTTTGCGTTGCTACAGAGCCGGAGGGAACTCATGCAGAGTTTCTTGCAGGCGAGGGATGCATGGAAGCGAAGCCGACGATGCTTTGCCACCTACTGGAGCGTACGTATGTGCTTCTCTGCCTTGCGCCTCCATGCCCGGACTGAACAGGCCGCGCGAGCTGTGAAACATGACAAATCGGCTTGGAAGGCCGGCTTGATTGCCAAACTTTCTCAAGCTGTCTTGCAACATGACGCCAGAGAAGCCTGGGCCCTTTCCAGACAGATTGCAGGGCTTCCTATACGGAAGACTGGACGTCAAGCCCCGCCAAGCAAGATTGTCAGCAAGTCTTCATGGCTTCGGCATTTCCAAGAAGTCCAGGCAGCCCAAGAGAGCATGCCGGTTGAGGTGGTACAGCCTCGTGATGATTTTCCGTGCTCTTTCCAGAAAGGCTGTGAACAGCTGCACAGGGCTATGAAGGGAATGGCTCGTGACCGCGCAGTGCCAAAAGGAGCAATACCAGTTGAGCTGTGGAGTGAACTGTTCGACACGACGGGTGAGTCCTTTGACTCACTTGGAGGTGTGCTGATGCAGGGCATTGAGATGTTTCAGTTTGCCGGTGTCAATCCCAGAGAATGGTGTGAGGGCCAGGGCTGCGCCATTCCGAAGCCGGGCGGCGCTCCAACGCCGGATGGTTACCATATCTAAATCTACTGGATCCACTTGGCAAGGCTTTTTACAAAACTGTTCTTGACATGCACCCTGATTTTCCAGCTCCGTTCCAGTATGGGTATTCTGCACGTCGTTCGCGGAGGGATGCCATCTTGCAGCTCACAACTGTGTTGCAGAGACTGCATAAAGCCGGCTTCTGCACTGCTGCTAACCTGTATGATCTCACGAAGGCGTTTGACATGCTCAGCAACGACAGTGTGCAGAGCAATGTGAAGAATGACCTCACTTTGCACAATACAGCTCGAGCCTTGCTGCTTGATATGCAAGGGCGGTTGCGCATTAGGATGCCTGTGGATGGTGGCAATGTGCTCTATGTCAAGCTGGGGGCTGGTGTTTTGCAAGGTGGAGGCACAGGACCGAAACTGTTCAGACGTGTGTACGACCAAACCCTTGACGAGTGGATGCAGCATGCCCCGGCAGCACGACCATTCACACAGGTTTTGTACGAGGGTCATCACGTCGATCTGTCAGTGTCGGCATATGCTGATGACCTTGCCAGGGTTGAAGCGGGCTGGACAGCTGATGATGTTGAGCAGGACACTCTACAGCATACAGTCAATCTGGTACAACACTTGGCTTTGCGCAACTTGCGGCTCAATTCCAAAAAGTGCGAATCGTTGCTCGCAATCAGGGGCCGCGGTGCTTATACAGCTTCCAAGCGTCTCCATGCTGGAGGCTGGAGAGGGCCACTTCTTAAAGACGTAGTCCGTTACCTTGGAGCTCATGTGCGACGAGACGGCTCAGTGACTGCAGAGATTACAAGACGTATTGCTTTTTGGGCACATCTGCAATCAGCCTCACGAGCCTCCTGCTAAGTCGACAAGTACCAGTCAGCACTGGTCAAATCATGCAAAGGGAAAGGGGAAAAATTGCTGTTGGGACATCACGTCACAGGCCAGGAGATATGCCATCCCAGCATGGAACAATAGAAGCGAGCGGCTTAACTTTGACACAGCGGTCTAAGGAAGCTATGTCACCAGAGACCCGAAGAACCCAAGCCAAGACCTTAGAATGATTGTTAAACTGTCTCGAACAAGTGAGTCCGGACTGATTTCCGAACCCGAATGACTTCATGTGTCTAATACCTACAATGTGTTCAGCAGCGACACCATGTTTGGCCAAAATTTGTAGAAAGACATCTTTGGATCTGCGAACAAATACTCCAACAGTCATCTCGTGATCACATATCCCTGCAAACAGGCCATATGTCGCCACAAATTCAACTGCGAGGGCCACCCACGTGGTCCTATCCATTGTATGCTTAGTCCCCCACTTCCATCGGCCATCAGTAATAAAGGCGGAAAAAGCCGAAAGCGCATCATTGGAGATAGGAGCCCTCTTAATTTTAACAATGCCACAGTGCACCTGTTGAAGGGGAGGACTAAGAATACCGTTGAAAAAGACCACTCTTCGGAGGGCTGGATGGAGCGACCACAACCTCTCAGAGATCGAACTGTCGAAACTTTGCTGACGTGTAACCGCATTTAAGAACACTTGCTCCAACCTGCCGACATGCATAACGCAACAGGACTGTCTGCAGTTTGGTTTGCTCTTGCCCGTTACACGCTTAGTAGGGCGACAGGTACACGTACACGATAACTTCGCATTGCTGAAAGGTTGCAAGGCCCTATCATTGCAAAGATCGGGGGCAATATCAAACTGCGACAAATCTTTACGCGCAAGCAAGGTTGCCACAGCATGCGTTTGAATGTCGACTGCTCGATATATGAAAGGCTTGAGCTCCTGCAGGTTTGCCAAGAAAGCTTCACGGGCTTTTTGTTTGGCACTTCTATCAGCAAGAGCATTACCACGCGTCAAGTGCGAAGGTTGCCCCGTGTATCCACTTGGCACATGAGCTTTCACCTTGATGAACTTGATTTCGCAATCAAGCCTTTTGTGAACCTCATCAAGAAACGCGGCCCACAAGTCAAAATTATCGTAGTTTAGAATATCCTCGCGTCGATATCCATGTTGCTTGAGAGAGGTTGCCCTATTAACAACAGCTGCACAGTCGCTGACAAGCGTAACCGGCCCACAAGTGAGTTTCAGCGCCAACACAGCTGCATATAGCTCAGCCCGTTGAGATGTGAGATCTCTTCCAGGAAGCGTCACCGCGATGTCCAACTTATCTGGAATTACAACGGCACAAGCGGCGGCACGTAAAGCTGCCCAGTTTTCATGGTAAGCAGACCCATCCAGAAAAATCGGCTCATCCACTGTGAAGGTCTCTGATATCTCCGGAAACTGAAGCAAAGAGTCATGGAACCTGCCTACTTTGTAGACTTCATGGGGGGCGCAAAACACACCAGCAGTCCACGAAACTGCATCTTCATGACCCCTGATAGGTCTGGTGTTCGCATATAACGGGCACTCCATGAACAGGTGCTGATGAGTTTCAGTGCATTCTTTGCACCAGCATTCATCTGTGTGGGCCATGTCTGCTGCTTTGAGCCGCGGTCCTGTAAACACACCACCTGTCATAAGCAAGTCCAAAATGGCGCGAGTGTGGGCATGATTTGAGGCAGTCGTTGTAGGAAGGGCTTTAAGAACTCAAAGTCCTTGTCGGATCGAAAATCTGAGTCTGCAAGAAATCTGGTCAAGAAGATGTCAATATCTGGGATGTTTGATGAAAGTTGGCAGTCGTGCCGACATGATACTTTTTGAAGAAGATACGTCCGGACTGCAACTCCGAGCTCATCCTTGAAGTGTTGAGAGCTTCCCGCTGCTAAGCAGATTTCTCCGCGCTGCGGGGTAAGGACAACAAAGTTTTCCGCATCAAGAATGGACCATTGCAGTTCCTGACATAGAAAGGCAAAGACGGCTGCTACACCATTGCTAGTCTGTTGCACTTTGCCGGCCAGACCCTGAGCATTAACAAGAACCCGCACTGCAAGACCGGGATGCTTCCGAATCATCTTTCTAAGCTTGCAAAATGAGTGCAGAGCCCACTTACCAAAAGGGTCGAGAAAGGGGTCAGCACGGGTAGCCATACTCAAAAAGGGGCACCGAACAGGGTTCTTCTTAAATAAACAAGCCACAACAGCTGAACGGATGCTATGCAGGGCGCGCGCGGAGGGAGCTTGTATTTCAGAACCATAAACCCATTTAGAGTGAGCATTTGAATGTATGTGAATTTGCTTTTGCTGTTGGGTCAAGGGTAGCACGGCAATCTTTCGCAGCATCTGGCATGCCTTTGCAGCTCGTTCGTTTTGGATAGAGACGCTGCCTTTGAGCCTGCAAGACTGAGTATAACCCAAGGACTTGACTGTTTTCTTACGGCGAAAGCTCTGACGGCCTACTTCTCTAAGAAAACGGTCAGCTTTGGCTTGGCGCTTCGTCAACAATGTCGTTTTTTCGGGGTTCAGGACTTGTCCAATACTCTGATCGAACTGCTCAACACAGCTTAAAGCATTAGCTAACTCACCTCTGTTGTTTTCTGGGGTCCAAAACTTAGCATCGTCAATGAAAGACCGAAACGAAATCGAGGGACAGACATTGTTCAGCACAGTAGCGAACACCGCATACGCAGAGTTGATCATAACAATGGACATGCTACACCCTTGCACTGCGGAGTTGCTTGCAAGAACCCGCCTACCAAAAGCGCTACCTAATTTAAAAAACTTCGTCTGATTCGAGTAGAAACCAAGCGCGGCCCGATAAACATGTTCAGGCAACCCAAGACGTCTAGCAATCCCTAAGGACACTTGAGGGATAACTAAGTCAAAGCACTTGAACCGATCTAGAAACAGAGCCATGGTATCTGAATGGTCATTATGAAGGTCCATGGACAATAACCATTCTGAATCGTCTCCACTGCGTGCAGATATTCCACCGATCAAACTTGGAGGAAAGACAGCGGCCTGCCACTGCATCAAATGCCGAAATCGCAAAGATGACCAAAGTGAGTAAATGACCGAAGCAATACCGATGCACCTAATATTTTTAGGCGAAGACATATCAACACCTTTAGAGATAGAGGCAATGCTAACCAGGCGAAGCGCCGCTGGCCATACACCGGTAGCTTCAGCAACTTTCATAACAAGAGCAAACGGAATCCACCCAGAAGGAGGTAAATGCTGAAGTTCTGCAACCTTCCATCCGTCAAGGCCGGACGCCTTGCAACTACTCTTCTTTTTGAACAGCTTGAACAAATCTACGTGATGGATTGCCGGAATATCAGCATCAGTTGCGATTTTATCCATGGCTTCATGATATTTCTCATAGAATTCAGCCTCCATTTGATCAACATCCTTATCCGCATGAAAGTTGTAGATTGTCTCCATGTGCTCTGAAATCATCTCAAGCATTTCGTTGGGATCAGATGTGATGCTACCATCTTCTCTACGAAAAAACCTAGGTTGACCTACACGCTCACCTTTAAGCCATCTATGAACCCGGGACCGGTTACCTCTAGCAGATAACTTAATCTTGTGCTTCCATTGATCAATTAGCTCTTGACTCCGAACCGTTTCACAAGCCTCAAGTTTTCTTATCAACTCCTCTTGAAGTGAAGTACAGGAGGCCTGCAGTTCTAGGGGCGAAGACGCGTTGAATGACGCACTCACGCCACATTTCGCAGCTACTTTGGAGGCATTGAAGATAGTCGCAAAGAGCTGAGAGGTCCACTCAGGAGAAACACTCTGGTGCCATACTTTGGCTTTGTTGCGGATCTCATGGATTAGCTTTAGGGCAGTAGTGAAATTACATCGAGCATGCTTGCGCTTTCCATCCTTAAACAGCGGAGCCTGCCGGAACTCAGGAATACGGCCTCTAGTTGAGGGAACAGAATTGTCGGCAACTGTGTTGATCATGCTAGTGACTGCTTCACAAGCTGTGGCCCATAGTGCCTCTACATCAAGACGTTCAGCATGCTGTAGTAGGGAAGGCAAGTATGCTTCAAGTACTGGTTTGACGATTGCATCACGGCTCTCCCATTCGCAATCTTTACGGGGTAGGGCACCAAATGACCACTTGGGACTAGGCTTGGCAACCGTATTGCAGCAGCACAGGCTGCCTTTGCCAGATTCGCCATTTTCTTCCGACGGAAGGATGCACCCCTGAAAACTAAGGTCATGGTTTTTCGAGCGGTCGTGAACGAGACTTTGCTTTCTGCTCTTGAGGTCCGAGTCCTGCCGTCCTCAGCAGTTGACAGGCTGGAGTCTGCGCGGGGCTTGCTACTTCGGCGACTGTTTGGAAAAAACGGTTATGGCAAGGTAGCTGGACAGACCCAACCGGTTTCAGTTACAATTTCGATGTTGCGAGCACGGTGTGGGCTGGCGTCTGTCATCACTGAGCTGAGAGTTCGAAGGCTGTTGTGGCTGCGAGCATCGCTGGCGGCGGAGAGTGCAGGCGAAATTCGACTGGAATTGGCGGCTCTTTTCGGCAAATTTCCATGGCAAGCACAAGAGCCTGTTGCCCCATCGGGCTGTCTGACAGATGCAGCTCCCGCATTCTTGCATGTTTTGCTTGATGATCTGCGAGCTATCTGCAGCGGATTTAGTGGGTTCTCTCCTGGCTGGAAAGCTGCTGTCCTTGCAATCTCCACTGCGGAAATCCAAGCCCTACGTACTTGTGATCTTGAGTGTCCGATCCACGGAGATAAACATGTTGACTGTCATCCTTCTCCTCATGGGGAAGGTCCAGTTGAGACCGCTGTTGCTTCAGAGATGCCAACATCGACTCCACGCGCTGTGCTCGATGTACAGGGGGAAGTTGTCTCTTTAGCTGTGCTGGGAGATGGCAGGACTCCTGAAGGGACCATTCTGCCTGCTGACTGGTTGCAGGGCGTTTTCTGTGGCGACTGCGCTAGCGGGCCTTGGCACAGCTTTCGTGCTTTTGCGTCACATGTGATGCGAAAACACAAAGTGAAGAGCTCGATACAATCCAAAGCACGCGCATACTGCGACCGAGAGTTCACCAGCATCACTGCTTGCAGGAGGCACATGAAGAATCGTTCTTGTGGTTCCATTGTTTGCAATCACGGACATGCTGGGGCCATAGCGGGCGAGAGGGAGCAACGTCACAGAGCGTCTACTGGTACTGATTTCTTCGCAGCCTTTGCGCAGCCGCCTTGTAGCAACTCCGTTGATGCTCAGTGGTCTCATGGCGCTGTCCTTCATGGCCGGCGTGGCAGCACCAGCGGCGGCACCTGTGAGCGCCAAGCGAAGAAGGGAAGCCTCCAATGGTTCTGGAGCCAAGCCAAGTGTCGACAAGCAGGTGGAAGCATTGTCGGCGCAGCTCAAGGTCGTGATGAGCCTTGTGAGTCAGCACGACCGGGACCTGAGGGAGTTAGAAGCGTGGTCGACTTTCACCTTCCTCTTGAAGAAGGACACACCTCTCGCTCAGGAGCTGCTGAAGGCCATGCAGGGCTGGAAGGACAAGCTTCCGGAGAAGGGTGCTCATCCATTAGGTCCTCCTCGCTGGGCAGTGGCAGGGGCTTTGGCGCAGTGGCTTGTGCTGGAAGAGGAGCGACAGAGCCAAATGCCGCACTTCTTCAGCTTTCACAACGGCCTCAAGCTGCTCTCGGACATGGAGTCGTCGGTCCAACTCGCAATGGTTCGAGAGACGAAGGATCAGAAAGTACTCTTGAGGGTGCGACCGCAACTGACCAGACAGGGTGAATGGCAAGAAGCCGTGATCGTCCTGAAAGCTGTGGTCGCCGCGGAGGGTGGGGAATTCAAAACCGGAGCAGCTCCACCAAATCCGCTCGTGAGGAAGATTGAGTCCAGACATGGTGCTCGCTGAAGGCGGTGCCGTTTTGTGCGGGGATCCTCAGAGTCAGGTGCCCTCGCGGCCCAGCCCCAGCATGACTGGGTTGCAAGCCGCTGATGGCCTGAAGTTTTGATTGTTCTCTGTCTGACATTGAAGCATGACCCATCTTGTGATAGTGGCTGAAGCCGCAGTCCATGCACTTACAAAGTGTGTGCGCAGTCTTATGGCTGTGAACGTTTTTGTGCATTATGCTCGGTCACAGTGCCGTGCGCCGACACAGGCCCCTGCGTTTCAAGAATGCAACAGACCATTCGGGACCTAAGCGGACAGACAAGACAAGACAAGACATCTCTTCTTGCGCCAGGAACGACCAGTGGGACCCTAGCATGACGCGGTGCAGTGTTGCGAAACGGACGGGTTCGACTTAGACAATGTACATGATGAGAACTTCCTTGTTCTTAGTAGGGGAGTAGTGAATTAGGATCCCAATCCCTAAGCCGAAACCCTGTATTCGTCGTAATAAATGTGGGGTAACATCCCCAAATGCCCAACCAGTGGGAGAAATGGGTCTCGCAGTTTGAACATGAGGCATTCCATGCCCGCCAAAAGTGGATTTTCATTCAGACCCCTCGAAGGGACACTGAATCTTATTCCCCTCTATATATATACACATATGAATATGAATACTAAGTATATACATCAAGTATGCAAAAAGAAAAGAAGTAACTAATACATAAACATACATAAATATAAACAGAAACAAGTAAGTAATATTAAAATATAGAAATTATTATATATATATATATATATATGTGATATATAGTCTCTATATGCCTACCCTAAACCCTAAACCCCGTGAACCCGACACCTTTAAGGTCCCTGATAAGGGTCCCTTCTTGGGATGTTCCCCCCTGTCGTAGCAGTCCTTAACTGGGATCATGATAGGGGCACTATAATCCCTATGAAGGACTGTTAGTATAAGGGAGAACATCCTAACCTAAACCCTTGAACTGCTCCTCCTTTGAAGTCCCTTGGAAGATGCTTTTTGAGATGGCATCTCTTCCCGTTTGCAAGCACCAGAGGAGTGCGCAAAAGGGTTAGGGTTTAGTTTAGGGTTTAGGGTTTAGGGTTTAGGGTTTAGGGTTTAAGGTTTAGGGTTTAGGGCTTAGGGCTTAGGGTTTAGGGTTTAGGGTTAGGGTTTAGGGTTTATGGGCACTTCGAGTGCCTCAGGCACAGAAGATCCGGAACCGGATCAGACTTCGTTTGGGTGCCCTGTCCGGCACGACGCTGATCACCGGCAAATCCTTGTTGCCTCGGCTTGGACAGGTGGACCCTAAACCCTAAACCCTAAACCCTCAACCCTCAACCCTGAACCCTGAACCCTGAATCCTAGACTTTCATTTTTTTGTTTTTTTGTGTTTTTTTTTTTGGGGGGGGGGGTTTACAGCGCATAAGGTCCGCAGCTCGACCCCTTAAAACGCCGAAGCAAGGAGCGAAACCCGCAGATGCCCAGCTGGCTTGCGGTTTAGGAAGTTACAAGTTTAGGGTTTAGGGTTTAGGGTTTAGGGTTTAGGGTTAGGGTTAGGGTTTAGGGTTTAGGGCTTGGGATTTAGGGTTTAGGGTTTAGGGTTTAGGGTTTAGTCCGAACCCTCACCCCCAGACCCCGAAGGCCCGAAGCCTCAAGCCGCAAATCTCAGGGAAGTTACGTGTAGACGTGGCCTTTAGGGTTTAGGGTTTAGGGCTTAGGGTTTAGGGTTTAGGGTGTAGGGTTCTTGTAGAATGTTCTGAAGTATGGGCCTTGGGGTTTTATGGGGTGTATCTTGGGATGTTCCCCTTTGTACCAACAATCGCTGCTAGGGATATATAATTGGGGTATTCTAGTCCCTAGTAAGGACTGCTAGTAGAAGGGCGAACATCCCAATATAAAAGGGTTCGGGTTTAGGGTTCAGGGTTTAGGGTTCAGGGTTTTAGGGTTTAGGGTTTAGGGTTTAGGGTTTAGGGTTTAGGGTTTAGGGTTTAGGGTTTAGGGTTGAGGAACAGCTACCGCGCCAAGGCTTGAAGCCGTGACGGCCCTGGGTCTTACGACCTATGGCCTGGAGGATATGAACGACATGGCCCCTGGGTCCAGTGTGTTTGTGGTTTAGGGTTTGGGGTTTGGGGTTTAGGGTTTAGGGTTTAGGGCGAGGGTGGGCCGATCTTAAGGGATGCAATAGGCCCCCAATGATGCCTAAGGCCTCTAAACCCCAAACACAAAACTCATAATTTCGTGCATGGACACACACACACACACACACACACACACACACACACACACACGCACACACACGCGCACGCGCGCCTACACACGCCTACACCCTACGCCCCGCAGTCTACCCTCTAAGCCCGAAACCCCAACACCAGTAGCTCCCCAAAACCCGCCCCCAAAGAGCCCAATATCCCTTAATTTTAGTAATATGCCTTAAATGAGGTTTTTATGCAGGATCTCCATAAACATTTAAAGCTGATTCCTTCTGAGTAAAGGAACCCTTAATTGAGTATTATACGCGAAATGATACTTAGGATCTCCGTAATATTCTAAAGTAGATTCCTTATGAAAAAAGGAATATCCCCCAAAAGATATTGAGGTTCTCCATCGTCATTTAAAGTAGATTCCTTGGGATGTTCCCCCTTATACTAACAGTCCTGTAGGGATGACAGTACCCCCTGCTAGAATCCCGAAGAAGGACTGTTAGTTAGAAAAAGGGGGAGCGTCCCAAGAGATTCCTTGGAAAGAAGGGGAACCGGACTGGGAAAGACCCCTAAACCCCAAGCCCCAAACCCCAAACCCTAAACCCTAAACCTTAAACCCTAAACCCTAAACCCCAGCCCCAAACCCCAAACCCTCAGCCCTTCCCAAAACCGCAAAAGCCCGGCCCAGATCAATCGCCTTGCGGACTTCGTCGGCCTCTATTTTGAACCGGACCGCTTGGAACAAGTGTCCTTTTTCGGCTTTGAGATGCTTGGGTCGGGCTTTAGGTTTCGGGACCCTAAGCCCTAAGCCTTAAACCCTAAACCCTAAACCCCCCGATATGTAGGGTGCTAGGTGGGTATCTTCCTGAACGCCCCAAAGGTCGCCCTCCTTTGGGAACCCAGCCCTTGTTGAAACCCTAAACCCTAAACCCTAAACCCTAAACCCTAAACCCTAAACCCTAAACCCTAGAATCGTGCCTTAGGGTTTAGGGTTTAGGAGACCCAGGGCTATTGCTTGCGAGTATTGTTTCTGATGGTTCTGGGGTCCGTGTGAGACATGGGCGTCTTGACCCCCCTTACTAAGGGAGAAGTAGGCCCTAAACCCTAAACCCTAAAGCTCAAACCCTAAAGCCTAAACCCTAAACCCTAAATCCCTAAACCCTAAACCCTAAACCCTAACCCAAGAATCGCAAAGCTATTTTCTCTACTGGAGGGACGTTACTGGGTACCACCCCAAACAGGGGATCCAAGAATGCAGCAGCATCCCTACCAGTAGGGTTTAGGTTTTAGGGTTTAGGATTTAGGGTGGTGCCTGGTTAGAGTCCCTTTATGTTCCTACTTTTTTCTTGGGGTTCCCTTGTTTTGGGGTTCCCATTGCTAGGAATCATTAGGATCCTTTTCCCTACAGTGCGTAGTCCTAGTAATCCTGCAGAATTGAAACCCTGAGCCCGAAACCCTAATGGGGGTACTTGGGTGTACGTATGTCTGTCTGCAGATGGTTTAGGGTTTTGGGCAACTTGTTTTACCCCCGGTACCAAGCAAAAGCAGTATCAAACCCTTCAACCTTGTTCAGTTTGCTGGCAAACAAAGCAGCCCACACCCGAACCTCTAAAAGCCCTGAAGCCGATACTCTAAACCTCGTACCAACCCTAAACCCTCAACCCCTCTCTGCCCTGAAAGTATTCGGGCCGAAGATCTTCCTATGGCTCCAAGGAGGACCCTTTTGGCAGGGTTTAGGGTTTAGGGTTCTCCTACACGACCCCCCCCGCCCCCCCCCTCCCCAAACGGGTAGCCTCCTCGTAATCTGGCTACGGGCTGCTAGGTACGGCCTAAACCCCAAACCCTAAACCCTACCCCCTTAAACCCCAAAGCCTAAACCCCAAACCCTAAACCCTAAACCCTAAACCCCTAAACCCTAAACCCTAAACCCTTAGAGTTTACGGGGCAACTCGGGGTTCGAGGCAAGCCTTGGGGAAACTTTACAGGTGTGGGGGTGCAGCTCTTTGGTAATTAAGCACCACCCAAAGAAACCCTCAACCCTTAGGGTTTAGGGTTTAGGGTTTAGGGTTTAGGGTTTAGGGTTTAGGGTTTAGGGTTTAGGGTTTAGGGTTTAGGGTAAACCCAACCCTAAATTGGGATATTCCCCTTATGCTAACAATCCTTAAGAGGGATCCTAGTTACCCCATGTGTAATACATTCAGGCCTGTTAGTATACGTGGTGAACATCCCAACCTATAAACTACGCCAAGCCCTGAATAAACAAACTTTAAAACCGCAAACCCTAGGCTTGGACTTCTTCCCCCCTTACCCCAATCCCTAAACTGCCCTTATGAGGAAGAACTGTTTGTGTTTTTTTGGGGTTTTCCCAAGCAAGCGTTTAGGACTTGGAGGAGCGCCTCGTACGTCAGTCGCCTTCAACCCTAGAAGCCCTGGAACACGGGTAGAGACTGGGTGCCCTGAATGTTAGGGGCCGCCTTGTACCGCTAACCCCCCAAAAGCGACCATAACGCAGAGAAGTGACGGCATAACCTCTTGAACCCTTAATCCCTAAACCTTAAACCCTAAACCCTAAACCCTAAACCCTAAACCCTAAACCCTAAACCCTAAACCCGGCCAGCCCTTGCATGTAATCTTGTAGCGTTGCTTGGCAAGGAGACTCGCCTTTTCGGAAGACCGAAGTGGAAATGGCCGGGGAGCGACGGCGTCCCGTGGCACGCAGGGCTTAGGAATTTTTGGTTCGGGTTTAGGGTTTTGGGTTTTGGGTTTTTGGGTTTAGGGTTCAGGGTTCAGGGTTTAGGGTTTAGGGTTTAGGGTCCTAAGCCCTAAACTTACCCCCGAACCCGCCGAACCCATCCTACAAGTTCCGAAGGCATACACCCCAAGCCCTAAACCCTAAACCTAGGAAACCAGGCAACTTGAAGCCCATGTCATCAGCACACTTCAGGGTTCAAGCTTGTGAGTTTAGGGATTAGGAATTAGGGCTGAGCGTTCAGGGTTTTGGGTTTAGGGTTTAGGGTTTAGGGTTTAGGGTTCAAAGGTGGTTGAGGGTCCTGCTGGCAGGCCTTTGGTGTAGCAAGCAGAACCCTGAACCCTGAACCCTAAACCCTAAACCCTAAACCCTAAACCCTAAGCCCTAAGCCCTAAGCCCTAAACCCTAAACCCTAACCCACTGTGCAGGATGATGGCACGACTATGCGCCGAAGTGTGACAGCAGGCATGCCATTCGCCGACGCCCAGCCCATCCGCTCGTTCAACGTCGTGCCTGGGTGCAGGTTTTGGATCTCTAGTGTTTGCCCTAAACCCTAAACCCTAAACCCTAAACCCTAAACCCTAAACCCTAAACCCTAAACCCTAAACCCTAAACCCTAAACCCTAAACCCTAAACCCTACGATGTGTTTTTGGGGCTTTGTGGGTACAACACTAAGCCCAGCCCCGAAAGGGCCCAAAAGCGTTGCTCCTCGAACCTCCCAAACCCCCTGACACCCTAACTGGGATTTTTGTGCTAGGCCAAAAAAGCGCGTGACCAGAATTCCCTTCTTGTGTTCAAGATTTTTAAGATGCCTTCTAAACCGAAGTAAACCAAACAAACGGGTGCAAATCCTAAATCCCAAACCCGAAACCCCAAACCCTAAACCCTAAACCCTAAACCCTAAACCCTAAACCCTAAACCCTAAACCCTAAACCCTAAACCCTAAACCCTAAACCCTAAACCCTAAACCCTAAACCCTAAAACCTAAACCCTAAACCCTAAACCCTAAACCCTAAACCCTAACCCTAAACCCTAAACCCTAAACCCTAAACCCAAACCCTAAACCCTAAACCCTGAACCCTGAACCCTCTGAAGCCCTGCTAAAGCCCAGATACCGGCCCAAGCTCTCGTTGATGTCCTCTTCTCAGAGGAGGACGAGACTCGGACTCCAGGGTTCCCTTTCGGGGGCCCGTTAGGGTTTAGGGTTTAGGGTTGAGGGTTGAGGGTTGAGGGTTTAGGGTTTAGGGTTTAGGAATTCGGGTTTAGGGTCCGGATGCAGAAAGGGTTTCGTGCGCCTGGAGCTGTTTCTCTGGGCTCCAACCTAGGGGCTGCCACTGCGAACAGGGCCCCTGGAGGCTTCGAACATCTGAGGGTAGCTTACACCCCTAACATGGCCCCTTACCTCCTTTTAAAGGGTTTAGGGTTTAGGGTTTAGGGTTGTTTAGGGTTTTAGGGTTTAGGGTGTAGGGTTTAGGGTTTTAGGGTTTTAGGGTTTTAGGGTTTAGGGTTTAGGGTTCTGAAGTATGGGCCCTTGGGTTGTAAAGGGTAGGTAAGGGGTATATAAGGGCCCCATTTGAGGGCCCATAGGCACCATGTAACTACCCTTCAAAAACAATCCGCAGCCCTGCCAAGCCCCCAACCCCCAAACCCTCCACAGGGTTTTGGGGTTTTGGGGTTTTGGGGTCTTAGGGTTTTGGGTCTTATTGCTTTAAGCGTGTAAGGGTTTTAGGGTTTAGGGTGTTTTGGGGGTCTTGTTGTTTGAGGGTCTTCGGGTCTTAGGGTCTTCGGGTCTTAGGGTCTTCGGGTCTTAGGGTCTTAGGGTCTTAGGGTCTTAGGGCGAAGGGAACCCGAAACACCCAAGCCAAAGCCAAGGACATGGTCAAGAGGATCTTTGGGCCAAGGCTCATCGCCCAGTTCCGGGCAATGCAGGACTGACGTAGCACGCACGCACGCGCGCGCGCGCAGCCGCAGCCGCAGCCGCAGCCGCAGCCGCAGCCGCAGCCGCAGCCGCAGCCGCAGCCGCAGCCGCAGCCACAGCCACAGCCACAGCCCCCCCCACCCACCCACACACACACACACACACACACAAACACGCACATATCGCGGGGTTTTGTTAATTATTATCTTTGCCCGCGAATTATTATTCAGTGAGTGAAACGAACACCCCATCATCAATAACAAGATGTAGAGCTCGCGTGAATCACTTCGTTCAGTTACTTACCTCTTTCACTTCTTATTAATTGATTTTCTGAGTTGTGAGTACGGTTAATCGAGTTGTTTGGAGGTGTCACGAAGGTTGCTCACAGGATAAGAGGTGAAATGAATGTAATAAAGCGAGAAAGGAGAGAGGAAAATAATATTCCAGACAATTAGCTGCATTTTTTCTTCTCAGAGGACCTTGAGAATGCATTAATTATTATCTTCATTCTAACCTCTGTTCAGATGTCATGCTGATAATAGCACACACACACACACTAAACCCTACACCCTAAACCCTAAACACACACACACACAGAGACAAATTCATCTTTCTATTTCGGCCACACGAAAGCCGCCCCAGAAGAAGCACGGCTTGTTGAGGCCATAGGTCTCAACAAGGGCAGGTCTCCGTCACTGTACCTTGGATGTACGGTTTAGGGCCTAGGGCTTAGGGCTTAGGTTTTCCGCACGCGGTCGCACGACCAACTACCCTAAACCCTAAACCCATTGTTCTTTGAGGTGGCGAAGGGGTCGGTGTTGGGGTGCGTGGGCGCAGGTGTTTGGTCGTCTTTCCTGTTGGGGCTAAACGCTCTTGTAGGACGCCGAAGGCCTTTGCCCGATCGACTCTAGTCTAGGATTTGGGTTTGGGGTTTCCTAAACCCTAAACCCCAAACCCTAAACCCTAAACCCTCAACCCTCAACCCTCAACCCTAAACCCTACTAGGCTCCCAATAGCAGGAAATTCTGCTGGCCGGGGACACGAACCGGCTCGTGGCCGAACTGACCCTTCCTTGGCCAAGAATTGAACTTTAAACTTTCTAGCTTTAGGGTTTAGGGTTTAGGGTTTAGGGTTTAGGGTTTAGGGTTTAGGGTTTAGGGTAATATAGTTTAAGCTTCTTACTCCCTGGTTATTTGGAGAAAGCAAGGACCTTTGTCAGAATCAACGATCTGGCAGCGCCGCCAGAGCCCATGCATCCTCTCATGTGACCTGGGGGCAATTTTTTTGGCAAAAAAAGGTGGTAGGATATTTGGACTTCAAACCCTAAACCCTAAACCCTAAATCCTAAACCCTAAACCCCAAACCCCAAACCCTAAACCCCAAACCCCAAACCCTAAGCCCTAAACCCTAAATCCTGAACAAGACCACCTGCCGCTTCGTGTCTCTCCCACCCCAGAGGCGAGCCTTGAAGCCCCAGACTCTGCCACCAAGCTTCCGGTCTTTCGAATTTTTTTAGGGTTTAGGGTTAGGTTTTAGGGTTTAGGGGTTAGGGTTTAGGGGTTAGTTTTTTTTTTTTTGGGGGGGGAGGGGGGGGGGTTTTAGGGTTTTGGGTTTTGGGGTTTAGGGTTTTAGGGTTTCTGGCGTTTTTGGGGGGTTTTTGGGGTTGTCAAAGGTTATTCAGACACGCTCTTGCCCATCAGTGTCTTATGTGCAAAGGGGCGAGGCTCGAAGCCCTAAATCCTAAACCCTAAGCCCTAAACTCTAAACCCTGAACCCTGAACCCTGAACCCTAAGCCCTTTCAACAGAAAGGGGGTTTTAGGGTGCAGGGTCAAAAAGGGTTGACAACCCCGAGGTACATTGAGCCCCTTGTTGCGATCCTGATTGTTGGCAATGGAGTTATGATTGGCTTGCACACGGATCCCATGCACAAGGACCTGCGCACCCTCAACCCTTTGATCAACCCTAAACCCCAAACCCTAAACCCCAAACCCCAAACCCTAAACCCTAAACTCTAAACCCCAAACCCCAAACCCTAAAACCCAAACCCCAAACCCCAAACCCTAAACCCTAATCATTCCGCCGAAGTCCCTGTGGCCTTGGGTTCTTATAGGGAAGCTGCCTACAGCTTTTTGTGGTTGTACTTACCAAGAAGCAGCTTACTGGTGAGTCCGGAGGGGTGGGGGAAAGTACCCCCCAATGCCTCGATTCATATGACCCTAGTATCTGAGGGTAGTTTCATGGGCCCTGAATGTGGTCCCTTACCCTCCTCAAAGGGTTCTGGTGTATGGGCCCTTAATTGTTTTTGGGTTTATGAGGCGTATATCAGGGGTAAACTCTAAACCCTAAACCCTAAACCTTAAACCCTAAACCCTAAACCCTAAACCCTTCTAAAGGGCACATACTAAGGGAGAAGGGACCATACGACTCATGGAAGTATACCTCCTTGCAGGAAGCCCCGAGGCCTGAACCCAGTCCCAGCCTTTATAACCAGGGTTTAGGGTTTAGGGTTTAGGGTTTAGGCCAGATCAAGATGCGGTGTTCTTTGTTGGTGTGAGCATGTGTAGGCGCTTGAGTCTCACTTGCAGGCATATGTCCCAGCTCCTGGTTCAAAAGGGTTCAGGCTGCAGGCTTCAGGCTTTAGGCTTTAAACCCTAAACCCTTTGTTTAGGGCTAAACAGTCTTAGGGAGTGCTGTGAAGGACTGGCCTGGGTGGGTCTACGTGGAGCTTGCTTTTCAGATGCTGGTTCCAGAATTTCACAAGATGGTGCTATAAACTGCAGACTATACCCAAAGAGCCCAATATGGCTTAATTAAGGAATATTCCTTAAATCATATAGGGGTCCTTAATATGATTTTAGGTATATTCCTTAGCTCTTTGGGTAGTGGTGCCTGTGATAATGGACCCTAGTACTATGGCAAGTTCCTGAGAAAGAAGGATACCATCATATTTCAATATAGTATACTACATTAGCATGAAATTATAAGATGGTTTAGGGTTTAGGGTTTAGGGTTTAGGGCTTAGGTTGTGGGCTTGCAGGATTGGGTGTCAGGGTTGCAGGGTTCCGCTTCGTAGCGTCGTGCGTTTCGCCCCCAAACCCGACACCCTAAAACCCGAAGGCAGAAGATGAGGTCGGTAGGTTGTTTAAAAGCGGGTTTAGGGTTTAGGGTTTAGGGTTTAGGGTTTAGGGTTTAGGGTTTAGGGTTTAGGGTTTAGGGCTAGGCGGCCACCCCTGGATAGCAACCTTGTTCAACTTGCACGGCTGGATCTTGTTTCATGAACTTCGAAATCAGTTGCCAGAAAGGTTTAGGGTTTAGGGTTTAGGGTTTAGGGTTTAGGGTTTAGGGTTTAGGCCCCCTTCGGGTATGCTCAATTGTAGCCCTCAACCCCAAACCTATTATGGCAACATAGCGTGAACAAGAAAACCGTTTGGCCTCGAGTGTTTCGGAAGGGGTCGTAGCTGTCTGCGTAGCTGTCTGCGGGGATGGGCGTGCGATGCACATATGGGTGGTTGTGAAAATTAGGGTCCCTTTTTGGATCCCTATTTCATAACACGGCACCTACTATATTTAGGGTACCCCAAGAGGGATTTTTAGGGTTCAGGGTTTAGGGTTTAGGGTTTAGGGTTTAGGGTTTAGGGAATTTTGACAGCCACCCATTTTGGGGAGGGTTTGGAGGGTTTTTTCGCAAGCTAGACTTCGGCTCGCGACAACGCAACGGCCCAAGGCACCCGAAACCGCCGAGGTTTAGGGTTTAGGGTTTAGGGTTTAGGGTTTAGGGTTTAGGGTTTAGGGTTTAGGGTTTAGGACCAAGTCAGGTTATAGTGTCATCGGCTCTATACGACCAAGCTTTTTTATACTCTTACTGGCTCAAAACCCAACTTTTCCACTTTTTGGGCTTCTTATAAGGTAGTTTATTGTGAAAGTTTCAACTTTTATTTCCTTGGGTTTTGGGCCAGTAAGAAATACCCCCCTCGGTTCCCCCCACAACTAAGGCTGTTTAGGGATAATTAAGCCTAACTGAGGCTATGTAAGGGGGAGCCTAGGGGGGGATAGTATAGTATAGAAGAGGGGTGGAAGGGAAAGTCAATGATAGTAAAGCCCTGAACGCCAGATAGCCCAAGGATAGTCCTCTTCCTCGAAATCCTTCTACGCATGCCCCTCGGCGCACTTTCTGTGGGGCCACAGCCTGGCGCTCATTGCGGCCCAGAGTAAGCCCCTATTCTCCTTTTGTTTAGGGTTTTGGGTTTTGGGTTTAGGGTTTAGGGTTTAGGGTTTAGGGCTTAGGGTTTAGGGTTTAGGGTTTAGGGTTTAGGGCTTAGGGTTTAATTAAAGGGTTTGGGTTCCCTTACAAGCCCCTTTAAACCAAAGAGGGATTCCTAGCTAGTGAACTCCGAAGGTATGACGCTTCTTCGGCGTCTGGCGATGTAATCCCAAACCCTAAACCCTAAACCCTAAACCCTGAACCCTAGAGTTTCAAAGGTGGGAAGTCTGCCTTTTCTACAAAAACGGTTTCGTAAGCTTAGTAAGCCCTACGCACCTAGTTTTTTCACCTCAGAACCCCCGGGGGCGCAAGAACACTAGTCTACACGAATGGAAAGTCTAAACTGTTCACCCTACCCCGAAGAAACAGAGCCCTCAACTTAAGCCCCCGCAACCGAAAACCCCGAACTCTGGACCTGTTCTGTTGAAAGCCTGAATCCCTTGAGGCCTTATAGTAGAAGCCAAAAAGCTGGAAACTCAATAGCCCCAACCCCTAAGAGTAAAGCATAGGGAATCCCAGCACTATTTGTCCTTAGGTTTCCAACCTTCTGGGGTTTAGGGTGTAGGGTTTAGACCCTAAACCCTAAACCCTAAACCCTAAACCCTAAACCCTAAACCCTAAACCCTAAACCCGTTACTGTATACCCTGCGACCCGAAACTGTTTCTCCCAGGCATCTGCTTGGTTGCCGAAGCTATTGGTGCGGCAGCGACGTGTATTGGAACCTGGGACACTGCCTAGAAGACGTGCCGAACTTTTTGAGTGCTTGTGCCCTAAATTCTGAGTGCTTGTACCCTAAAGTTTGAGAATGCAACCCTAAACCCGAAACCCTGAACCCTAAACTCAAAACCCTAAACCCTACAGCCCAAGCCATCACTTGCCATGATCTCAACTTCCTCGGCCCTAAGCCCTAAGGCAGGCTCCACGCCAGAACATCGAAACTGTAAAGGAAAGCGTCCCCCTAGGCCAGGGTTGAAGGTTCAGTTTTGGTGTTTAGAGTTTACACTGAAGATTGGTGTCTCGGATCTGGCTCGTCCTGACGGTTTAGGACTTTAGGGTTTAGCGTTTAGGGCTTAGGGTTTAGGGTTTAGGGTCTAGGGTCTAGGGTTTAGGGGTTGCAAAAAGGGGTTATGGGGTTTCACCGCGACCCGGACCAGGAACCTCTTCGACTTATTCCTTTTTGGCACCGGTCTGATCGACCTCGTTCTGCAGTTCATCGGGAACCAGGCGCATTTTTTCCTTTTTTCGTGCGATTGTGATTGGCAGTTTGGGGCAATGCCCTAAACCCTAAATCTGAACCCTAATTAACCCTAAATCCTAAACCCTAAACCCTAAACCCTGACCCTAAACCCGAAAACCCTAAGCCCTAAACCCTAAGCCCTGTTCGTTCTCCTCCCCGCCACCCGAGATGTTTCAGGGTTTGGGGGTTGAAGCTTGAGGTACCCTGAAACCCTAAACCCTAAACCCTAAACCCTAAACCCTAAACCCTAAGCAATAAACCCTAAACCCTAAGCCCTAAACCCTAAGGTGTCATGAGGGGAAGGGAAGCCATCAACCTCAGGCTTCGAAACCACACGTCCCCTTAACGCCAGTTCGATGGGCCCGGGGGGGGGGAGGGTTAGGGTTTTGGGTTTCGGGTTTAGGATTAGGATTTAGGGTTTAACAAGGGGGGCCCCCGATTTTGGAAAAGGCCTATCTGCACCGAACCCTAAACCCGAAGCCCTAAGCCCCCCCCCCCCCCCCCCCCCCAAAAAAAAAAAAAAAAAAAAACTCACCCAAGGTCTCTTGAGTGGTGGGGTCTGAGCATGCCAGGAAGACTTCAGTTGCATGGCCCCTCAATATCATGGGGCTCTGCCTTGGACTTCCCTTCATCTAATCAAGGGAAGTTGGTTTAGGGTTTAGGGTTGAGGGTTTAGGGGTTAGGGTTTAGGGTTTAGGCTTTAGGGTTTAAGTTTTCGGGTTGGTTCCTCAATAGCATGGGACTCTACCTTGGACTTGGGTTTGGGGACCCTTTTAAGGGCCATATCAAGAGTACACTAAGGGAAACCTGCAGGAACCAAAAAGGTCCCGAGTATGACTTCCTGAAGAATATCGGGCTCTTTCTTTGGGGGACCCTTATTTATACACCGCTCGTGTACCCGGTAAAACCCCAAGGCCCATACCTTCAGAAGCCTTTTAAGAAGGTAAGGGGGACCACAGCATAGGCACCACGAAACCCTAAACCCTAAACCCTAAACCCTAAACCCTAAACCCTAAACCCTAAACCCTAAACCCTAAACCCTAAACCCTAAACCAACTTCCCCGAATTAGATGAAGGGGACGGACATGGACGCCACATCGCTGTTGCGCTTCTGTCGGCTGCCCCTCGTCAGCCCAGGAGAGCTTCTGGGTTTAGGGTTTAGAGTTTAGGGTTTAGGGTGTACGGTTTAGGATGTGTTTACCTTCGTTTCTTTGGGTTTGTCCCTTTCATGCTGTGTGTAAAAGCCCCTCTCACAGACTATGGTAATTGGGCTTATGCCTGAGAGCATTACGTTGGGACAAGGACACGGCCAACAAGACCCAGCGAAGTACACTAGCTTGAGTGGGTCCTTTTAACCGTGTGTTCGCTTCGCTCGGTAGTTTGGATAGTAATCGCCCGTTTGCATCAACAAGACAGAGTTCGCGGGGGAATCATGGTTTGTGCATTGACCGACCGAACTCCTCATTCAAAGACATGTATTTCTGGGACGTTTTGGGGTTTGCCACAATCAACGTCCACCAAAGGGTACTACGTCAAGCCTAAACCCTAAACCCTAAATCCTAAACCCTAAACCCTAAACCTGAACCTGCATATTCTGGCATTCCTCCATGATGGGCTGCCGAGCATCTTTGTGGAAGTTGGGGAAGTTTGGGGATCTGGGCATAGGTCCGGGACCCGAAACCCGAAACCCTAAACCCTAAACCCTAAACCCTCCCAAAAGTTTCGGGTTTAGGGTTTCTGGCCGGCATGGAGCTCAGTAGCGGGTTCAAGCGTTTCTGCCTGAATCCTGAACCCTAAAGGTTCCTGGTGTTCAGGTATCTTGACTAGTTCTGCTGACGACTTTGGGAAGAATGATATACCCGGTTTACCTCTATAAAGCCCTATACCCGAAAAACCCTTAAACCCTAAACCCCTCAACCCTCAGCCCTAAACCCCTAAAGCCAACCGAGAAGTGTACCAAGGTGGCAAAAAACAAAACCCTAGACCCTAAACCCTCGACCCCAAACCCTCTCAAGGGGTTGCCCAGAAAATCGAGATCCAGGCATCCCTATGAAGAACCACCCTAAACCGTAAACCCCAAACCCTAACCCTAAACCCGCCAGTGGGGTGAGCCAAACTCGAAACTTTGGGTGATACTTCTACTTCGGCGCACCCCCTCAAGCGGTTGCAGGTTTAGGGTTTGGGGTTTAGGATTTAGGGGGCCTTTTTCCCGGCCAAGCCAAGGATTCGCCTGGTGCGCATTGTGAAAATTTTCCGCATCCGGTTCATGAAGGACCTTCGCCTGATGGCGTCTCGGACCTTTGCGATGGCACCTTCAGAAAGGGTTTAGGGTTCAGGGTATCCCTAAGGCACGACAAACCACAAATTTCTTAGCCGCTATAGGCCATAAAACCACTCAATCCTAAAGCCCTTAAGCCCTGAACCCAGGACCACGCGAGGTCACTTGAGACTAACCCAGATAGCCCTCAACCCTGAACGTCTTGCTAAGCCCTAAAACCCTAAGGCCTAAAAACACTAAACCCTCTAAACCCTGAACCCTAAGAACCCTACTGCTAATCGCTTAAGAACCCCGAAAAACAAGAATATTCTTCCTTACTAAGGGTAATATAGGGATTGTCATTTCTTAATTCTTTCGGGGTTCTTTTGCAAATAGTAGCCCTAAACCCTGAACCCTAATACTGTAAAACACAAGCGCACGAAGCCAAGGTCAAAGGTTTGATCGCTGGTTGCGGCCTGAGATTTCGCTGGTTCCATTGACGACTTGTCCTTGTGAAGGTAGGGTTTAGGGTTTAGGGTTTAGGGTTTAGGGTTTAGGGTTTAGGGTTTAGGGTTTAGGGTTTAGGGTTTAGGGTTTAGGGTTTAGGGTTTAGGGTTTAGGGTTTAGGGTTTAGGGTGAGCCATGCTCGCTCTGGCCACATCTCCGATGTTTGCAGGGTTTTGGGTTTAGGATTTAGGGTTTTAGGGTTTCGGGTTAAAGTTTTGTGTCAGGTGAACCTAGAAGAAGAATAAGAAGTCCATGTTGGATTCTTTGTTGAGGTGACGCGCAAAACAACCCGATCTTTCGGTGCAACCTAGGGAAATCAGGGGTCCTGCGTCTTCTCTTCGTTCATCCTTATAATGCGGCTTTTCCAGGAGCTAGACCGCTATCATCCTGTACTGCGTTCGTACACTCATTGCGCTCACTCAGTACATTCGTTCCCTTATTCGTTTCTCTCTTCGTAGTTCCAGCCCGGATGATTGGTTAACGGGGGAACAGTACTAACAATAAGGTTAAGGTTGCGTTCACTAAAAGCCTAATAAAATGTACTAAAAAGGTAAATGAAGTGCACGCTTTTTAGTATATTTTATGTGGCTTTTCTCTCTTCTTCTTTCTTCACCTGTAATAATATAATGCACGCGTCGCTCACTCCTTGTCATTAATATTATTACCGTGAAGAGAATAAGAGAGCACATTAATACTAATATTACAAGTTAACGCGTGAATATTAGTATTAGTGTGTGAACGCATGAACGCAACAACTGGACCATGAGGTAGAAACTGCCGCTGGACGCTATTAACCCAGCTCACGGATCGCTTCTAAGGGTGAACTCTCCTTCCCATGGAATCTTCTCCTTGTTTCGTTCTCTAGTTCGCTTATTCACTTACAATTCGACAATTCCTAGTTCTCTTCACGTAATACTAATATTAATCTTGTAAGGAGTGAACATGTGAATGACGCACGAAGTTAATATTATGAGCGTGAAAGGAGAACGAAATGAATGTTAGGGCGTCTATTTCTCTCTCTTTATACGCCCGTATTAATACTACTAAAAGGGCATACAATTTTATAATTAAAATGTAAAGAGTGAAACGATGCACGATTTTAATTAATAAAATTTGCCCTTTTTCCCCGGGCTTCTATTTTCATATTAATAATACCGCCCGGGATGCACTAATAATAGAATTAAAAGTGACCGAAGTGTGCACCATCATGACTTAACAGACGCATGTAATCCAGTTCATTGGCTTTTTCACCCAGCCCATGATCCACCATTCAATCACCAGTCAAGATACTACTTTTAATTGCAATCAACATCACTCCCTAAACAGAAACATCTCCTAGATGTCGAAGAGGAGGTATCCCACTATTGCTACATGGCGTCTGGAAGATGGCCCAAAGAGCCCAATATTGCTTAATTAAGGAATAGACCTTAAATCATATAGGGATCCTTAATATGATTTAAGGTATATTCCTTAATTAAGCTATATTGGGCTCTTTGGGGGGGTGTTTTTCCTGCCATGGACGGCGTGGGGTAGGAAATGTTGTTTGATGGCCCTTCACACTGGGGCTGTAACTGCTCTTCGCATCTTCCCGGAACCCGGCCTCAATGACATACAGGGAAACATCGACGTGTTTGCCATCCTAAACCCTAAACCCTGATCAAGAGAAAAGCGACATGGAAACCTCTGACTTCCGACTTCTTAGTAGCGCATCAGGTGCCTTTCGGGCTGTGAAGGCAGTGAACTCTGCAAAGAACTGGTTCGCTGAAGAACTATTGGAGGGATCCTGATGCGGTAATGTACATACATAGGCACATGCACCTTAAACCCTAAACCCTATACATATCTCGGGCTTGTATTATGGAGCCTAGCAATGTATCGGGACTTATATTAAACTGGTGAAAGTCAATCTAAAATGCAAAAGAAGCAAGACATCGCCTTAAACTCCTAAGTACAGATGTGTACGTGTGTGTGTGTATATATATATATGTATGTATGTATATTATATGGTTTAGGGTTTAGGGTTTGGGGTGTAGGGCTTAGGGTAATTACATATATATATATATATGCTACCCCCCCATGTACCCACGCTTTGTGCTTGAAATTCTGGAAATTTCCGGAAAATCTGGGTTTTTAGGGCTTAGCGTAAAGGAATCCGGGACTTGGGGCTCTATAAGAATTAAGGAACCCCCCTCTTCAGGGATTAGGGATCACAATTTGGGGAGTGAAATTAAGGAACCAAGGTTTAGGGAGTAGGATTTGGGGATCAGGTTCTTTTGTATTTAGCACAGAGGACTTGGGAAATAAGATTGGTTTGTAAAATGCAAGGGCTCTCCTCAATAGGATGTAAGGATGCCCCTCTTTAGGGCTTAGCGAATAACATTAAAGGAATAAAAATCTAGGGAACAAGATGTAGGGACCCCGCTCTTTAGGATGTAGTGATAAGGATTTGGGAAATAGGATCCTTAAATTCTAAGGAGGAGAGCCCCTAAATCTTGAGAAGGAGGGCTCCTGAATCCTAAAACTAATCCAGTTCCCTAAATCCTTTTCGCGAAACCGTAAAGGGTGGGACCCAAATCTTGCTCTTAATGGTATTCCCGAAGTCCTCTTCTCTACAGAGGGGCGTCCTTAAATCTTAAAGAGGAGCATTTTCAAAAACCTATCCCCCAAGTCTTTATCCTAAAGTGGGACGCACGGATGCCTTTTCTTAGGGCTTCGGGAATAACGTTAAAGAAGACATCTAGGGAACAAGATGTAGGGACCCCGCTCTTTAGGATTTAGTGATAAGGATTTGAAGAATAGGATCCTCAAGTTCCAACGAGGAGGAGAGCCCCTAAATCTTGACAAGGAGAGCCCCTGAATCCTAAAAACAAATCCAATTCCCTAAACCCTTTTCGCGAAACCGAAACCGTGACAGGTGGATTCTTTTCTCTAAACCTTAAAGAGCGGGATCCCTTGATCTTATTCCCTCATTCTATGTGCTCTCAAATCCTATTCCCGCACCCTGGAGAGGGTGTCCTTACATCTTAAAAGCAGATCCTATTCACTCATTCGTTTTCGCTGAGCCCTAAAGGGTGGGATCCCGAAATCTTCTTCCCATCTTAATCCCTGAATATTTTTCCCTAAGTCCTATTCCCTAAACCCCAAAGAGGGTTCGTCCCTAAGCCCTAAACTTCAGCCTAAATCCGAAAGCAAAAATGACTTTTATTGCCTCATTCTTTTCTTTTAATCTTCAAGAGCGGAATGCCTTAGTCTTATTCCCTTGTATTTACTCTCAAATACTATTCCCGAACCCTGAAGAGGGATTCCTTATGTCTTAAACACAGGTCCTATTTCCTAAATCCTTCTCGCTAAGCCCTAAAGGCAGGGATCCCGACATCTTCTTCCACACCATATTCCCAGAACATTTTTTCCAAAGTCCTGCTCTCTAAGCCCCAAGAGGGGTCCGTAAATCTTAAAGAGGAGAGTCCCTAGGAGAGCCCCAAATCCTAAGGATGCACGTCTGCAAGCCTAAACCCTAAACCATAAACCTCTAAAGCCTAAACCCTAAACTTAAGCCTGAATCCGAAACCCTGAGCCTCACATCGTGGGACTGCGTGTGGCTTAGGGCCTAGAGAGTAACTTTACCCTAAACTTAAGCCTAAATCCTGCAGAGCGGGATCCCGAACTCCTGTTCCCGAAAACTTCTTTTCTTAATGCCCTTCAAATCCTAAAGCGCTAAGCCCATAAGGGTGGGATCCCTTTCCCGAAAGCTACTTGCCTTCATGCAGCAAGATGGCACCGATTCAGAACAAGATGAAGCGCATTCAAATGCATTCAACATGCATTCAACTTGAATGCGCTCCTGGATTCAAGATTCAAGATTCCAGGTGCCGGGGGAGCTTGCCCGGGCATCTTGAATCTTGAATCTTGAATCCAAGAGCGCATTCAAGTTGAATGCGTTTTGAATGCATTTGAATGCCTTTCATCTTGTTTCACCTTGTTCCGGAGCGAAACTTACGTGCTTTGTATACTAAATAAAGTATATTTCGGGCTCGTCTGCTTATATACACTTTACTGAGTTTGAGGCACTCACCCGATCCCAATAACCCACGCTTTTCTGCAGAAGCTGAGATTCTGGACACAGGCGTGGGTACATGGGGGGGGTTACCATATATATATATATATATATGTATATATATATATATATGTGCATATATATATGTATATGTATATGTATATATTATGTATGTGTGTATGTGCATGTGGATGTGTACATGTTTATGTATATAAATCTAGGTATATAGATATATGGGTGAAGGGTCGTGGGATCAAGGTTTCCCCCCGTGGCATCCCATTCCGCACTCTGAGGCGTCCGGACGCTCGCTCTCGCTTTCGTGCTCCTTTTCGCTGCGTCTGGGGCGGATTTCTAGTTCGATGGGTTGAGGGTTTAGAGGGTTTAGAGGGTTTGGAGGGTTTATAGTGTTTAGAGGGTTTCGAGGGTTGAGAGGGTTTAGAGTTTAGAGGGTTTTGAGGGTTTCGAGGGTTTCGAGGGTTTCGAGGGTTTCGAGGGTTTCGAGGGTTTAGGGAAGGCCGGGTTAAGGGTCCCCAAACTTACGATCTCTTGGTAAATCGGGGGCATTCATGTATAGGGTACCTAAGATATCCCCTCGGTACGACTTTACATAGAAAGCCAAACTCCCAGAAGGCAAAATTTGTTGAGGTTTAGGGTTTGGGGTTTGGGGTTTAGGGTTTACAGTCAGTAGCACTGGGAGCCTGTGCTTGGGCAGTTTCTGGCAGCACCTACGGGAGTCCGGATGCAAAAGGGTTTAGGGTTTAGGGTTTAGGGTTTAGGGTTCGGGGTTTAGGGTTTAGGGTTTAGGGTTTAGGGCTACAATCCACCCCAGGTGCTGTACGTCATCTCAGGGTTCTCGGCCATGACGATCGGCGGCCACTACGGCCCCGAGGACGAGCTGACGGACGACTCCTTGGTGCCCTACTTCAGGACGGCCTTTGCCACCTCCGGGTTCTTGAGTTCGGCCAAGGGGTTTAGGGTTTAGGGTTTATGGGTTTACGGGGTTTGGGGTTTAGGGTTTGCGGTTTGCGGTTTGCGGTTTGCGGTTTGCGGTGTGCGGTTTGGGGTTTGGGGTTTAGGGTTTAAGGTGTCTCATAATGCCACGGCGCGACCCACCCATGAAGTGGTTGTGGGCCGCGCCGTCACGGTACCGTGGAACCCGCCCGCAACCACCCAAGGTCAAACCTTTTGGTGGTTTAGACTTCTACCCCCCAAAACGCCGAGCAGCCTCTTCGGACACTCCATGGCAGCAATCAGGGGGCAACCCTGGCTGGCTGGGTCAACCCTCGCAGGGGTAGGGCTTGGGGTAGGGGATGTTTTTAGGGGGGAGTCCGGCCCTAAACCCTAAACCCTAAACCCTAAACCCCAAACCCTAAACCCTAAACCCTCCACGACTTCTTCTGGGCTTCTGAGGCAAAGGAGGACGAGATGGCTTCTGAAAGACCTTTTCAGACCCCTTGTACGGGTCCTACTTAACGGTTCATGGGTACTTCTAGGTAGGGTTGTAGAGTACTAAGGAAGGTTGTAACAATAGTTACAATACTTCTAACCCTACTCATGGGTACTTCTAAGTAGGGTTAGAAGTACTCTAAGTAAGGTTGTAACAATAGTTACAATACTTCTAACCCTACTTATAAGTGCCCATGAACCTCCAGGTAGGTCGGGTGGTGGCTTGGGCAGTCCAGGACTATCCCCGACGCGATGTTCACAGCTTTCAGATGCTTCACTGGCGAATGTTCGACTCAAAGTGGGAAGCCCATTCACTACCTGCTCGCCGTCGAGTTTGGCTATCCTTTCATGTTTCTCTACGTGGCCTGCTACATGCTGGTAGCCATGGGCATCTTCAACGTCATTCTCGCAGTCTATGTGCCTTGGAACTGTCGCAGGCACCAAAGAAGCTCCATATTTCGTGGGTTCGGGGCTCTTGCGCTTGTGGCTAAACCGTAAGCCCTGAACCCTAAACCCAAGGTGGACATCACCATGAAGGCTGCCAAGGAGAATGACATTGTGAACGCAGAGCAGTACTCCCGCGAGTCTATCCGAATCGCCAAGGTTACGCGAGAGCTGCTGAAACCTGGCTGGCTCTTAGTAGGGGATGAGGGAATGAAGCACCCTATACAATCCCTTTAACTGTATATATATAGGCATTCGACCCTATGTATTCCCTTTTGGGCATATATAGGACACTATATATATATATATATATATATATATATATGTATATATATATATATATTTTCATTCCCTTGAAGGGTATATATATATATATATATAGGACCCTATATATGATATATATATATATAATATCCCCTTTAAGGGATGATAGAGGGCCCTCACGTGGCAAGAAGACCCGAAGAGTCCCCTCTACCCTCATCCTGGCACCTCAAGCCTGCCGAGTCGCACCCGAAACCCTAAACCCTAAACCCTAAACCCTAAACCCTAAACCCTGAACCCTGAACCCTAAACCCTTGCTGCAATCGTTGGAGCCCTGCAACCCTTCAAACTCCATCAGCATGGCAAGCCGACACTCCGCGGGTTTAGGGTTTAGGGTTCCGGCATTCAGCAAGCACCGGCTTGAAAAGGGTGTAGGGTTTAGGGCTTAGGGTTTAGGGTTTAGGGTTTAGGGATTAGGGAGACCCTAAACCCCAAACCCTAAACGCTTCTTCGATTGGGGGATTGGAGTGAGTAAGCCGACCTGCAGTAAGAAGTAGTCCTAAGAGCGTCGTCGAAACTGATGTCGTGAGTGTCACTGCAGACCTGAGAACCTTCCTACCGATGCCTTGCCGGCCGTGTGCGAGTGTAACTCCCCAAGCCCTGGTCCAAGGAAGAAGTTCTCGGCCGCGTATCGGATCTTCAACGACGCTCAGCTTCCACTTGGAAGGTTCTTTGTTAGGGTTTAGGTTTGGGATGTTCCCCCTTCTACTAACAGTTCTTAGTAAGGATTATAATCGGAGTACTATACTCCCATAAGGACTGTTAGTATAAGGGGGAACGTTCTAAGGGTTAGGGTTTTGGGTTTTCGCCGGTTTCCCCACAACAAACAGCAGAATACTCATGTAAGAATATGTATCAATGGCAATGTAAGTTACAGTAGTAACACAATCGTATAGTACAATCGTCAGAAATAGAACATAGTGTCTGTTGGTTCGTAGGGATCGACGGAAAAGTATTCATAGCTAGGGTTTGGGTTTGGGTTTTCAGCCCGAAACTCTGCCACAGAAAAGGTTCTTTTGTTTTCTCTACGAACCAACAGGATAGTCTCAAGCCCAAAGCGCCGAAACTCTAAGCCCTAAACCCTAAGCCCTAAGCCCTAAGCCCTAAACCCTGCAGTGTGATGCGAGGCCTTGAAGGCAGATGGCAAGAAACCTGCCTCGCAAACCCTGAGCAGCGAACCACCTTAAGAACCTTGGGGTTTCGGGTTTAGGGTTTAGGGTCTAATTAGGGCCCTAAACGTACACCCCGAAGCGATTGGGTTAACCGTAAACCCTAACCCACCCCACCACCCTCAAACCCTAAACCCTAAACCCCCAAACCCTAAATCCTAAACCTCCAATCTGGGAAACATGGGTTCCTACGCTTGAAAGGCCCCTAAATTCCTAAAACTCTCCGCCCTCCCCCCCTTTCCCGTCAGAGGACATGGATGACCAGATTAGGGTCTAGGGTTTAGGGTTTAGGGTTTAGGGTTTAGGGTTTAGGGTTTAGGGTTTAGGGTTTAGGGTTTAGGGCTCGCCACAGGACATGGATGACCAGATAAAAGACTCTACCTCGTCGTCTAAGCGCCTGGACCTCGGCAAAACGGCCGTGCTCCTTGGGCTCAGCAGACGCCAGTTTGGGGTTCAGTCAGGGTTTAGGGTTTAGGGTTTAGGGTTTAGGGTTTAGGGTTTAGGGTTGAGGGTTGAGGGTTGAGGGTTTAGGGTTTAGGGTTTATTTAGGGTTTAGGGTTTAGGGTTCAGGGCTTAGGGTTCGAGGGTTCAAGGGTTCGCGAGTTTGAGGGTTTAAGGGTTTGAGGGTTTGAGGTCTGAGGGTAGTTTGAGGGTTTGAAGAGAGAGAGGGTAGTAGCGCAGAGCCCGAATGCACAAACAACGAGAGGGCACTCGGGTTTTTTGCGTATCAGGGTTTCGGGGGTTGAGGGTTTTCAGGCTAACAGAATGCTCCGCTAGGTGAACTTGGGGGTCACAGGCAGGTGGTATTCGCGACAACTACGTCCCCGACCCTCGGCCCCAAACCCCAAACCCTAACCCCCTCCCCCCTCGTCTGTTCCCTTCAGGATTTGCATGCCCAGGTGCCCGATCAGACACCCTAAAAAAACCCTAAGCCCGAGTTCCCGCAGCCGAGGTTCCACGAGGCTGAGATGGACAAAGTGGCCATCACCAAGGAATTGTTCTTGCTGCCCCTCGGCGTGGTCTAGCCCCTACACCCCAAGCCAATCGTTCTTAAGGAGAGGGTTTTAGGCCTGAGGTTTTCGGGTTGGCTTACTGCTATTGGCTTAAGAATTCCCCCCCCCCCCCCCAAAAGAAAAAGTCAAAGAGAATTATCGCTGTACTGATGGGATCTTATGCAAGCAGACAGTAGCTCAGGAATAGTTGTTTGTTTCCATGAGCACCAACTCCTGGCGACTCCTGTCCTCAGCCCTACCGGGCCCTATGTGGGGGGGTTTACGAACATAGGGGACCCCGAACATAGGCCCCCAAATCGTAGGATTCCGGATTCCCTTTAAAAAAAGGATCCCAAGAGGCTACCCCTATTAATCACTACGCAACTTCAGACCCCACATAGTGGGATGTTTCTGAGGACCATTCAAGATAGTGAAGAATCCCTCTATTTCCCTAAACCCTAAACCCTAACCCTAAGCCCTAAATATTCTTTGTGGAGGTTTTTGAAGCAAAGAGTAGTTCTCTGAGGATCATTCAAGATACTATATTGCCCTAAACCCCAAAGCCCAAAGCCCCAGATATTTTTTTGTGGGGTTTCTTAAAACCAATAGTAGTTCTACCCCAAACCCTAAACCCTAAACCCTAAGCCCGAAATCTCAAACCCTAAAGCCTAAAGCCTAAACCCTGATTCTGAGGATCATTCAAGACACGGGCGTGCAAAAGCTGATGGATGAGTTGGACTTGCCACCGGACCGCGCCAACATGTTTCTTGGCAGCTAAGTGGTACCCCTTTTTTGCCTTTTTTGCCTTTTTTGGGTTTAGGGTTTAGGGTTTAGGGTTACGGTTTAGGGTTTAAGGTTTAGGGTTTAGTAGGGTTTAGGGTTTAGGGTTGAGGGTTTAGTGTTTAGGGTTTAGGGCTGCTCGGCTACCAAGGTTTGAGATCATTGATGCAGATGGCTGCCTGGCAGTTCTGCACTATGCCATTCTACATGCCTTTTCTGTGTACTGTTGGAGTGCGTTGCAGCATTCTTATTCAACTTTCCAATCTTGATTCAAATTTGTCTTTCTAGTTTAAGACCCCATGAATCAAGTATTTCTTAGGTCTTAGGTTTTTTTATTCCTTAAACAAATCCCTTTTCTCTTAGCCCGCGCGAATTACGAGTGTAATCTTCACGAACCAGCTAATACTTGGGGTTATGAGCCAATGCACAATGGGGATAGCCTACACAGTGCCAGACACGAGTCTAGAGAAAACCGATCCAATTGAACAGGCGCCCCCCTTCCCCCAGCACCCGCAGGAAACAAAAGTGGTGCACCCCGCGCCCGCAAGGACCAACACTCATAACTCACCCTGAACCCTAAACCCCATGATCGTCAATAATGGACAGACAACCCGCAAGAGTCAACCCGCAAGAGTCCCTGTCACACTGGGAGACCCTCCTGGCGAGCTTCCCAACTTGCCAAAGACCCACCTAAACCCTAAACAGTTTACGAAGAATCCAGCTAAAGCCCCGAAAGCCTAACCCACTAAGGAAGAGCCCTCAACCCCCAAGGAAAACAACCGCTTTCATGAACCCCTAAAGGCCCCCCCATCCCCAAACCCCAAACCCTAAACCCCAAACCCCAAACCCTAAACCCCAACTCGCCTGGCTCCGAGTGTGAGCGATTAAACCCTAAACCCTAAACCCTAAACCCCTAAACCCCCAAGGAAGTGGCACCCTGCAGATCTCCGAGCTTCTCCATGGGCTCCTGAAGATTCGAGGCCTTACTGTTGGTTTGTAGGGAATGAGGGTTGGTTTAGGGTTTAGGGTTTAGGGCTTGGGGTTTGCTGTAATATTGCGCAGAAGCTGAAAATGTTGCGGTTATCAGCCAAGCCTCGAAGGCCTTGCGCATTGCGAAGGGCGGCCATGGCCCGATCGTGGAGGGCCACTCTAAAATTCTCTCCCACCCCACGCCGTTTAAGGCGGCAAAGCCACCCTTACCTATTCCTTTTAGGGTTTAGGTCTAAACTCAATACCTTGTCGTTTTTTTTTAAACCTCGTGGAAGTGGGAAGTTTACAGGGTCGAGCTTCGTCCGGGGACTGGCACGGTAAAAAAAAGCTGAGGGCAGGACACAGTGAGGCAGCAGGTGTGCAGCACAGCAGGGGGGGCCCCGGGACAACCCGTTCAGGAAGGACCGTTGAAGGTTGAGGCCGCTTGTTGAGGGTTCAACGCTCCAGCGCTCGATTTCGCGGATCTTTGGCGCTGGCGACCAACTTTTGTGCGGTGAGCTCAGAAGGAAATTTGGCCAGAAAACCTCGGCAAAGTCCTATGCCAGCAACGTCATGCGGGTCATCCCAAACCCAAAAAGAGCAAAAGTAAACCCAAAAAGAGCAAAAGTAAACTCCTGTTTGGCGCTCAATTTCGTGGATGTTTGGAGGGATGGGCAGGTGGGTCGGGAGGCCCGGCAGGAAGGGGGTCGGGAGCGAAGGCCAGAGCGCCAGGCAGGGGAGCGCAGGAAAGGCTCAAGAGGGCCCAGCAGGGGAAAGACGGGGGGCTGGGGGGGGCCCAGGGGGGCCAGGGCGGCCCAGGGGGCCCAGGGCCGCCCGAGCAGGGGGGGGTCAGGGGCAGTCCTGGCCTGGGGGCCTTGGGTACTCTCCCCAGACCAGTACTGGTCGCCGAGAGAACCTGCTCCGGTACCAGGCCCATCGTGGGTGCCACCGACCTCCGGGCTGCAGGAGGCGGGCAAGCGACCTGGGTCGACTTTCGCCATCGCGGTCGAAGGGCTTAAGCGCCGCCCCCGTTCTGTAGGGGGGCGGCCTAGGCCCTGAGTTTACGGTTTAGGGTTTAGGGTTTAGGTTTAGGGTTTAGGGTTTAGGGTTTAGGGTACATATAGGGAAATACAGGGTACCTCATTGCCTCCAGAAACCGACAGCAAGAGGCGACCTCAGCAAAAGCGACGCGGTGGCTGCCTTGCTGGCGACGCGCGCGGTGCAGCAGATGCTGAACGACTTCATCGCCCCTCGGCTTTTTGTTTAGGGTTGAGGGTTTAGGGTTTGGGGTTTAGGGTTTAGGGTTTAGGGTTTAGGGTTTTTGAGGTTTAGGGTTTAGGGTTTAGGGTTTAGGGTTATTCGGGAAGCCGAGACCGCGCACCCCCCAAAAACCGCCAAAACCTTGAGAGCCCCGAAGCCTTCAGTCAGGGGCTGACTCCGCAGCGTTCTTTTGGGGCTCAGGTCTTGTAGGGAATGAGGGAATGAGGTACCCTAGATCCCCCTAGGTCATCCCTTAAAGGGTATACTGTAGGGCCTTAGAATCCCATAAAGGGTATAAAACTAGGGCCCTAAAATTCCTTAAAGGGTATATATATATATATATATATGTATATATGCATATATACATATATACATATATACATGTATACATGTATACATGTATACATGTACACATAGGGGCCCTAATTCCCTCAGTCCCTTCCAAGAACCAGCCCGTCTTTTTTTGGGCTCAGGTCCAGAACCACAAGCATCTTGGTCGTGCCTGGGAGAGCTTTCTGTTTTGACTGCCACAGTTTGAAATTGGGCACCCTTTATACCCCAAACACAAGGTTCCCGAATTCGCCCCACCATTGCCTCAGGCTCCCGAAGCTTGCCTAAGGTTCCCTAACCCCCGAACCCTAAACCCTAAACCCTGTCTGAAGTGAGAAGAACTGAGACTCAGTCGGATGTTTCGGACCTCAGTTCCGGACTATGAACGGGTTTAGGGTTTAGGGCCCTGCCAAGAACCTTTCATTTTTTGGGCGTTCTGAAGTAAATACCAGTACTTTGCATCCTTCCGAGGTTAGGGTTTAGGGTTTAGGGTTTAGGGTTTAGGGTTTCGGGTTTAGGGTTTAGGGTTTAGGGTTTAGGGTTTAGGGTTTAGGGCCTAACGACTCTTCCGTCTACATGGGCTTTGAACTCTTAACCCTAGACCCTAAGAGCCCTAGACCCTCCAAACCCTAAACCCTGACCCTAAACCCTAAACCCTAAACCCTAAACCCTAAACCCTAAACCCTAAACCCTAAACCCTAAACCCTAAACCCTAGACCCTAGACCCTAGACCCTAGACCCTAGAAAAGCCCTAAACCCTCTAAGCCTAGTTGGAGCCCCGGGTCTTGGCTTTCTTCTGGCTGGTCCTTCGGGCTTCAACATTTTGGGCTTAGGAGCTACAAGAAGGAGCCGAAAATTTAAACTTTCCTAAGCCCTAAACCCTAAACCCTAAACCCTAAACCCCAAACCCTAAACCCTAAACCCTAAACCCTAAACCCTAAACCCTAAACCCTAAACCCTGAACCCTAAACCCTGAACCCTAAACCCTAGACCCTAGGGAAGGAGCCGAAAAGTTAAACTTTCAAGGAGGGGTTGTTTAGGGTTTAGGGTTTGGGGTTTGGGGTTTAGGGTTTAGGGTTTTAGGGTTTTAGGGTTTAGGGTTTAGGGTTTAGGGTTTTAGGGTTTTAGGGTTTTAGGGTTTTAGGGTTTTAGGGGTTTTGGGTTTTCAGAAGTCAGCCACGTTGATTGGAGAGTGTCACGTTCTTGCCGAATCCATGTCACGGGTCGTATGGGAGTTTATGGAAATGAGGGTTTGGGGGTGTAGGGCTTCGGGCCAACAGCAAGAGAGCCACCAAAGAGTAGGACAGACTTATCATAAGGGCCCGAATCAGGTACCTTCACGATTTTCGCACTCAGAACCCTAAACCCTAAACCCTAAACCCTAAACCCTAAACCCTAAACCCTAAACCCTAAACCGTACAGCCTAAAGCCTAAAGCCTAAAGCCTAATGCCTAAACCTTCAAGCCTGAAGCCTCAACCCTAAACCCTAAACCCTAAACCCTAAACCCTAAACCCTAAACCCTAAACCCTAAACCCTAAACTGGTGTGCGCATCGAAGCCCAAGGAACCTGCAGGACCTGTGGTCCGAATTCCAGCGGGAGATTGTGCACCTTCGCATAGCCCAGGCGCCAAGGGGCCTGGTTCATAAACCCTAAACCCTAAACCCTAAACCCCAAACCCTAAACCCTAAACCCCAAACCCCAAACCCCAAACCCTAAACCCTAAACCCTCTAGGACCCGGAGTCTGCCCGGGTTCCAGCTTTTTCTGGGGTTCAGGCTCCCGTACAAGCCCCTTTGAGAAACCCTAAACCCTAAACCCTAAACCCCATATCATTCCCATTCTTAGGTTACTCCTAGGTTCAACCCTCAACCCTAAACCCTGAGGCCTACTTCAGGAAAGACCCAACTGCACGAACCTTTGGTCTGATTTGGAGTCAAGAAGCCCCCCTCTAAGGCCCTCCTCGAGCTGAAACCCGGATTAGGGTTTGGGGTTTGGGGTTTAAAGTTTAGGGTTTAGGGTTTAGGGTTTAGGGTTTAGGGTTTAGGGTTTAGCGATCAATCTCAACGAGGTTGGCCACACAGCACGCTTGCCACACAACTTTTGGAAGCCGTCCTCCCCCTCTTTTGTTGGCAATAGCAGCACTCATCGTGTTTGGTACCCTGTTACTTTGAGCATCGGACTGTATGCTTGGGGTAGTTGTGGGGTTGGGTTAGGAACACCTTGTGGGCGCTGAAGCACCCCAAAGTCTGTAAGCCCCCTAAACCCGGCGCAAAGTCCCGAACCCTAAGCCCCAAGCCCTAAGCCCTACACCCTAAATCCTAAACCCTAAGCCCTAAACCCTAAACCCTAAACCCGAAGCCTGGATCCACCGCACTTGGCGCCAGAATCCGCCCCGATTGTCCCTGGCTTCTCAGACCTCGTCGACTTCCAGCGGCGTCCCAGCTTGATGTGAAGCAGGGTTTATATTTCTGTTTTTGGTGAGTGTATATAAGGTTCCTTTTAAATAGTGGTGTGTGTATATACTGGGTGTCCTTTTGGTGGTACAAGAAGTTTATTCCCTACTTCATGTCATCTTAGTACCTGAGTGAGTACACTTTACGCTTTTTGGGGATACTCGAAGCCCCTATAGAACTGAAAGTGCACACTCTTTTTGGGGGCTTATGACCTTGGGATACTAGAACCCCCTATAGAACTGAAAGTGGCGCACTT